ATATAACGTGGCGTCATAGGGAAAAGACATAGAATATTTACATTTGGAACCTTCCGAAGCTTTGCTGTGTGCACCTCAGCCTTCAGCTGGTTCTGATACATATTCTATTACTTTAATAATGGTAACTGTAAAAACCACACTATCCTGAGTTCTGTAAGCCATTCTAGCAAGTTATCATAACTGAGGGGACACCTGCATTCATAGCTATTTGATCATTAGTAAGGGTGGCCTGAGGATCTCTGAACTTGTGTCTAGTGTCTAAAACAAAGACAATCTTGTGAAGAACTATGTCCTTAATCTGTTAGGACTATGTCCTAACTCTGGGCTGTATGGTGTCAGAAGTCATCACAAACCAAAAGACTAATAGAAGAAATAAAGGGTAAAAAGTTCAAAATGTTAATTTACATATCTGAGAAACGCAGTGATGGTATATCCACAAAATGGTTTTTCAATCTCAGCACTACTGACATTTTGGACTAGATAACTCTTTGGAAAGGGAGGTGATATCCTGCTGTTTTGGAAGGGAAGGGACGTCCTGAGCATTCCAAGAGGTTTAGCAGCATGCCTGACTCATTCCCACAAGAAGCCAGTAGTACCTCTTTCCTCCCTGAACTATGACAACGAAAAATATCTCCATACATTGCCAAATGTGCTGCCAAGTGGGGCAAAACTGCTTCCTGAGACCAACTAATGAAACACTATATGGCTATCTTAAAAAAACTGAGAATACTCTATATACCAAATTAGAAAGACTTATAATATTAAGTGAAAAAAAACAAGGTATAGTATAGTTATGTATTAATAATTTGTTACCATTTTGAATAAAGGTTAGGAAGGAGTAAATTTTCATTGTTAGCATACAGATACAAAAAAGTTTCAGAACAACTCAGAAGAAACTTAAAACAGCAATTACCTACTTGTAGGTGGATGACTATATACAGAAGAAGATTTGTTTTTTACTTTTATAAATAACCATGGGAATTTTTAAATAATTAAATACACAGCTCAAAACTGACAAATCATTTGAGTCTTTCCATTTCATCAGTCTTAATAATCATCATTTATAAGAATGCCAGACCTTGATTTCCCTCTCCAGCCACTGAGAATCCTTAAGTATACTGAGGTTTTTTCTGTCTATACAATGCTTTGGGGTCCTGAAATATCTGTACATTAAGTCATATTTTGTTGTCTTTAAAAGCAGAAAACTCAGAGAGTAGAAATACCATAATTTGTTGTAAAAAACAAAACAAAACGTAACATACTATAAGTAGGAAAAACTCAAGAGTTCCACTCTAGACATGCCATTGTCATTTGAAAGATGACAATGCTTTCTATACAGAAAATGTTAAGAAATCTACACACGCCCACACAAAAAACTAATAGAACTAATAAGTTCAACGTGGTTGTAGCATATAAGATCAATACACAAAAATCAACTGCATTTCTATTCACTACAAATAAACTACCCCAAAATTAAAGAAACAATTGCATTTACAATAGCATCAAAAAGAATAAAATATAAAATGCTAAGGAATAAGTTTAACAAAAGTATAAGATTTCTTCACTGAAAACTATGAAACATCATTAAAAGACAGTAAATGGAAATACGTCCTACATTCATGGGTTGGAAGATTCACTATTGTTAAGATGTCAACAGTCCCCAAACTGATCTACAGATTCAACACAATTCCTATTAAAATCCCAATGGCCTCTCTTTGGTAGAAACTGACAGGCTTATTTTAAGATTCCTAGAGAATTGAAAGGGACACAGAAGAGCCAAACCTTCTTCTTCTTTTTTTTAAGGAATACTAACAATCCAATCCAAAGTTTTATTTATATAAAAATCATTTCCCCGACGCATTTAGGGCACAGTCAGGCTAAAGAATAGCCTTGTTTCCATTAGTAGCCACGTCACAGTACACAGCAAGTCATATTTATGGTGACCTTGATATTTTCTCTCAGTATATGAGCTAAGTCCTTTATATTTTGGAACTAAACAGCCCAGACTGGGACTTTTTCTAGAAACATTAGAAGTCTACTCCAAAGGAGAAATGATGCCTCCATCTCCAGAAACTAAAAACTGTCAGTACATTTCAAATATTAATACTCCAGGTACAAACTTCCAGGAGAAAAGGACCACCCCCAGCCATCACCTTCCTCCCAGATATATGAATATATATACACATGTGCATTTATGTTATTTGTGTATGCATTAAAGACTGGTAACATGGTGGCTAAATCAGAGATTTAGCTATGTTAATTTTCATAGTTAATTTCATAGTTAATTTCATAGTTAATTTCACTATGTTAATTTTCTTTCAACTGCTTTTTCAAGTTTCTTTGTGTTTGGAATTTTAAGATTCACCTAAACATGGAACAAGCACAAAGCATACGTGTAAAGCTGAGTTTTAGGGGCTTTTTGTCAGCTTTAAGTCTCTAATATTTTATTTCCTCTTTCTTTGATCTTTCTCCTAAAAAACAAAGATTTTACAAATTTTATAGACAACTGTCTTATAAGCTGGCCTGATGAAAAATGGCAGATGGGGCATGTCTGACCACAGAGAGGAGCCCAGTGAAAAGAGTAGATTGAAAACCAAAGGTGTTCATTTAAATCAATGTGATTTGGAAAAGTTCCCTTCTAAAAATATTCATTTTAGCAAATGGTGAGTTGAAATTTGTAACGTTTATTCAAAACTACACAATGAGTTTTAAAACCACAAGAGTAGTGAAGCCGCTCAGTCCTGTCTGACTCTTTGCGACCCCATGGACTGTAGCCCACCAGGCTCCTCCGTCCATGGGATTTTCCAGGCAAGAATACTGCAGTGGGTTGCCATTTCCTTCTCCAGGGGATCTTCCTGACCCAGGGATTGAACCCAGGTCTCCTGCATTGTACGCAGACGCTTTTATCGTCTGAGCCACCAGGGAAGTGGGCACATAATTATCTTGTCTGAAGCTCACTTTGAACTCAAATCTGATTTTTTTTAATATAATTTCAATCTTAAAACTGTAAGGCAGTTGCTTTTCTCTATGCTTGAGCAGTTTTCCTATCAGGTGGTAAAAAGGCTAGGGTTTTTTTAAAAATTTCTTTACTTCAAATTAGCACCACAGTACATGTTCATTGATGAAAATATGGTAAATACAGAAGAGTTCAAAGAAAAACAATCATCCATGATCTTGCCATGCTGTCCATGAAAAAGCTGCTCATCTGAGTTATTTATTTCCAGCCTGGGCTTCCCTGGTGGCTCAGATGGTAAAGAATCTGCCTGCAATCCGGGAGACCTGGGTTCAATCCCTAGGTCGGGAAGATCCCCTGGAGGAGAGCACTACAACCCACTCCAGTATTCTCGCCTGGAGAATTCCCAAGGACAGAGGAGCCTGGCAGGCTACAGTCCACAGGGTCACAAAGAGTTGGACATGACTGAGTGACTAAGCACATTTCCAGCCTAACACACACACACGCACACACACACACGCACGCACACACACGCACGCACACACACGCACGCACGCGCACACACACATATACTTACGTCACCTACCCAGACACATTCACATATACACAGTAATAAGATCGGCCTAGCCACACTACCTTATATAATTCATCTGCTGGTACATGGCAACAGGTTGTAGACATGTCTTTAGATAGTCTTAGTTAATGTCTTTTTAATGGCTGTGTTGTGTTCCACCATATTGTTGGATATTTAAATTATTTCTCATTCTTTGCTATCATAGTGACTGCTTCAGTATACATTTATATATTTCACATTCATATGCTTACACATTTAATATTCACAGAAGAGCCAAACATTCTTAAAAACAGAAAAACACAAAGTTGGAAAACTCACACTTGATTATGACAATAATCAAGACTGGGAGGTACTTAAATAGGAAAAGTAGGTTAATGGAAACAACAGATGGTCTAAAAATAGACCTATACATTAGTGGGCAATTTATTTTTGACATGGGTACCATGACAAATTTAACAGTGAAAGGCTATTCTTTTCAAAAATGATACTGGGGCAGCTAACTGAATAGTCAAAAAGATATCCAGCTGCATGTCTCAAATTGGACATGGAAAAAGAGATGGACTCCTACCTCACTCCACATACAAAAAAAAAAAAAAAAAAAAAAAAAAAGGGNGGACTCCTACCTCACTCCACAAAAAAAAAAAAAAAAAAAAGATGGATCAAAGAACTAAACATTAAGAGAAATAACTATAAAATACTCAGAAGAAAACATAGAAATCTTCATTACCTAGGATTAAGTAAAGGTTTCTTACATATGATACAAATAGTACAAGCAACAACAAAAAAAGTAAACTGACACTACCAAAAAGTAAAAATACAAATCAGAAAATGAGAGAAAATATTTAACAATTATATACATATAATAAGTAATTCATATCCAGAATACATAAATAACTCTTATAACTCAACATTAATAAAACAAATAATCCAATTAAAAACAGGCAAATAATCTGAATAGACTTTCTCCAAAGAGGAAATAAATGGTGAATAAGCACAGGAAACAACGCTCAACATCATTCATATTTGAGTAATGCAGATCAAAACCACCATGAGCTATCACTTCACACCCACCAGCCTATAATCAAAGAGACAGATAATACCAATTACAGAAAATGGAACGTGTATACATTGCTGATAGGAATGTTTAAGTGTGCAGCTGCTTTGGAAAACAGTCTGGCAGCTCTCTTAAAAACAGAACTACTGTTAAAAATAGAACTATATGGGCATGCAATCCCACTCCTAGGTATATACCCAAGAAAACTGAGAACATGTCTATAGAAAAACTTTTACATGATCGCTTAGCGCAGCAGTAGCCTCAAAGTGGCAATAACCCAAATATGCATCAACTAATGAATGCACAAACAAAACGTGGTCTGTCCATTGGAGGAACTATTATTTGGTGACAAAAAGGAATGAAGTATTGACATATGCTCCAACAAGGATAAATCTTGAAAACATTATGCTAGGTAAAAGAAATTAATCACAAAAGACCATATATTACATGAATCCCTTTATATAAGCTATCCAAATAGACAAATCCACACAGACTGAAAACAGATTGATGGTTGCCAGGAGGTAGGGTAGGGGATAATGGGAAGCAATTGCTACTGGGTGTCAGGTTTATTCTAGGGGTGATAATGCTCTGAAATTAGACAATGGTGACAACTGCATAATTCTGTGTATATACTAAAACCTACCACATGTCCACCTTAAAAGGTTGACTTTTATGGCACATAAGTTATATGTCAACAATAACTACACACATATGGCATATTTTAATTTCTCTATGTCAAAATTACTTAGAAGCAGAATAAATGTTTCTTAGAATGGTTAAGTTCTTCAGAATTTTTAGTATAAAATTTAATCTTAAAGCCAATAAGTTATTTCAAAAACAATGTACAGAAGTCTCATGAATATTTCCACTCCCAGAATTTGCTGGGAGTCTACAAATCAGTTGAGAGTGGTACAGAAAACAGTGATACTTAAAAGAATTTTACTGCCTAATACAGAGACCACAAAAATGTAGCAAACCATTCTCTTTCAAAATCTTTCGAACTCTGAAACACTGCTTACCAAGTACACTGCTCTCTGAAAGAAAGTTGTGGTCTCTAGGATTTTGTGCATTGTAATGGTTTCCAACTCATCAGGGTCTAGCTGCTCCTTTTCAAAGGGCATTCCATTGAATAGGACAACAGGTAGTGGACCAACTCCAGTCTGCTCATAGTAACTTCTTGCTTCCTGAAACACATGGGACCAAAAATGTATATTTTTGTCATTCCTGAGAAAAATGGAACAAAGCATATTTTTCACACATACATGTTCTAACAAGAAAAAAAATCAACAGAAATATAGAACCCAAGAGATAACTATAGAAAAATTCTTTTAAAAATATATAAAAAAAACTAATACAACATTGTAAATCACCTATACTCCAATAAAAATTAATTTCAATATATATATTAAGAACATCATAGTTAACATCCTACTAGGTAAATCTGAATTTAAATTACTGAGTTTTAATAAAACCACAAAACCTTACAAATCAAGAAGTGGTTGAAGGTGGGGATGAGGGTAATTTTAGGCAGCCCAGGCTAACAGATCCAAATTATATCCACTACAGCCCAAACTACACAACAGACCTTTCTGCAGTGATGGAAATATTCTACCTTCACTGTTCAATGCAGTAGCCACTAGCTGTGTGTAGCTATTGAGTATAGGAAACTAATTAATTTCCATTTTAAAAGCCCATGTGACCAGAGGCTACCATAATGGGTGGCACTACTATAGACTGTCATAAATTATTAGTGCTCCTGGGCAGATAACTTGAGATGAAATATTTACATCCAATTCTAAATTTAAAAGGGTCCATATCACTAAAAAAGAAATTACACCTACAGAAACCAAAACAAGGCTGGTGAAAAGACAGTGTTCAAAAAAAATCACTCTATAATGTACTAAGCTCAATCTTTTTTTTTTTCTTCTCAAGGACAGGAGAAGATCCTTGGCAGGGAAATACCAGGTGAACAAATATATCTGAGACTTTTCCAACAATCAATATAAGGTACATTCCTCCAGATACCAACCACAGACTCAAGACTAAGTTTTTAGAGTAAAAATTATGTTATTACCCAAGACATAAAAAGTTCATAAGACATTCTTGTTAAACACCTTATAATTGATATTTTCTGAAAATAGCAGAAATTCAAAGTATATAACCTTTTTTAGATAGCATGAATAGAAAAATATGGTAACTAATACCAGTCATAAGCTTAGTTTCAGATCTAGCCACAGTGGTAAATGATACTACAGACTTCTATGATGGACTATGATAGGGCACAATGAGAAAGACTGTGATCTCACCATTTCTCTATACCATTCTAGGTTGATCTCTGCCATTTCTCTATACTATTGTTAAAACTTTTCAAATGTACACCCCCAGAACTTACATTAATTCTGTTCTTTGACATCTTATCTATTTCAAAGAAGTTTCTAGACACCCAATTTTAATATACTTTGAGCTCTGAAAATTTACTGATGGATTCCCCAAGAAAACAAAACAAAACCCACACTATAACTCTCAGTGACAATAGGAAGTAAGTAACATTAGCTTTCTCTGAAAGTGGTAATTGAGTAAAAATCAAGAGTGGGAGGGAGATGCTTTGACTTTCCATTTTCACAACCTGCAAAAAGATTATCAGGCTAAACAACAGAATGCAGGCCAATAATCCAAGTCACACTTAAAACTTATATATGAGAGTTTCTAGAAACTGATCACTAAAAATGCTAATCATACACAATTTTGAAACCCTGATTACAGAGTCACAAATGAGTCATTCATAAAAGATAACTGAGATTAATAAAGACTCAGAGTTAATCTGCCAGTGGTAAAATGTTGACATGAATAATTTAGAACTTTTCTTACTTTGGCTTTAAAAGATACAAATATGCATCTATCAGACTATATGCTCTTTGGTTCAGAAGATCTACTTTAATTGTACTCCCTAGTTTTAGAAACAATTACTTCTTTCAGATATCAAACACGGAAGATAACAACGCTTCAGATTTATAGCAAAAGACTCAGATATTTGTAAGTAAAATAACATTTGCCAATTGTACTCATTTCTCCTTTAAAAAACATGCACTTATTCCTTCTTTTCAAAAAAATCTATTTTCCTTGGGCTTTTTCATATGAAGGGTACATGTCCTGCAAAAATCTTAAAAAAATTAAAAAATCTTACTGATCATTAGATTCTTAGGACTTCTGGGAATCTCACAATAACCTTCTCTTGAAAGTATGCGATTACTTAGCTAGGAAATTACGACCTGTTTATATGAGAAGGTCCGCTAACTAGTACAGATGAGGCAAATGGCCAAATGGGAGAAACGACTGAGGAGCTGGGTCTGTGATACTCTCACTTGATTCTTCAGCAAAATCAAGATTTCAGTACATAAAAGACACCATGTGAAAGTACCATTTTCTGTGAACCTTATTTAGGGAAAGTTAGATACAGATTGGGCTTCCCTGGTGATTCAGACAGTAAAGAATCCACTGTAATGCAGGAAACCTGGGTTCGATCCCTGAGTCAGAAAGACTCCCTGGAGAAGGGAATGGCTACCCACTCCAGTATTCTTGTCTGGAGAATCCTATGGACAGAGGAGCCTGGCAGGCTATAGTCTGAAAAGAGCTGACAAATATGAAGCAACTTAGCACACATGCATACAGATACAGATTATACAACTTATTTAGATGAAACTGTTTTATAAATGTAAAGAGCTAAATGTTAAATTCTTAATGATATCTACCTCTTTTATTGATCAATTTCTATATCAATAGACATAAAAGAATGATCACCTCTAATTTATTGCAGTGGAGACTGCTTCTTGAAACATTTTTCACACATATACACAAAGCCAATATTGGTTGTGAGAGTTTCTTCATTTTTCAATCAATGTATAATCTGCTAAATGAAATCAGAGCTTTAGATTTAATATATTTTTCTTCAGAAGTAGGTATTTCTTTAATAGTGCTTGCTAATTATGCACTATATGGAAGAAACATGACAGCAAAATAGTATGCTATTTTCTTATCATTTTTGTATCTATGTATTTATATTAGCTATCACTGAAAGCCTGTATTTCAAGAGTGAATTATTCATTTGAATATAAATGAAAATTCAAGAAGATGTAATAACCAATTATCTGTTGCACAGGATAAACTGATCATAAGAGGTAAATTTTAGAATGTTATCATTTCTTTTAATGTAACAATTATGTTTCAAGCATTGTTTTAGCAGTCTATTAACATATGCCTTTTCAAGTTTAAAAAGGCAAGTTGGGAGGCTTTACCATACAGGACAGGTATCAAGGTACTAGTAATCCATGCCCTAGAAGCTTAATACTCCTTCTCACATAATTATGCTTTAAAACCATTAATATTATAGAATATGTCCTTCATCTCTAATACATCCAACTCTGCATATGTATCATTAAAGAATATGTTATTAATAAAATATATTATAAATATTAAAAAACATCCTTTCCTCCAATTTGTCCACATTATTTGTCCACATTATGAAAACATTATTGAATGTTTTCAAGCAATTCCTTTTGATATAGCAATCACCCACAATAAAAAAGGCAACACATGCTTTTTCTTCAACAGAATGATACAAAATCAAAGTTAAACATTTTCCAAATGTGAAATATGAGAAAATTCCAGTAATTTCCTCAAATATTCTCAAAGTGGCCCTTCTTTCCTTTTATTTCACTTTTTCTTTTTCTACAGAGTACTACTCATGTTGGTTGTGAAAGTGTGAAAAAAAAATCACCAACACGTGCCCATACCAATATTATTTTATTAAAAAATAAAAGGAAAGTGACTGAACAAAAGGTTGCAATACAATAATGGAAACATGTTCACTGTAAACTGAGTAGACTTCATGACCAGCTTCAACTTCAAACCCAACTGGATATTCCTGAAACCAAGGAGATTTAACACTGAGGCAGGAGTGATGTGGGGGCTTCCCAGGTGGCTCAGCTGTAAAGAACCCACCTGCCAATATAGGAGATGCAGGATATGTGGGCTCAATCCCTACATCAGGAAGATCCCCTGGAGGAGGAAATGAAAACCCACTCCAGTATTCTTGCCAGGATAACCCCATGGACAGAGGAGCCTGGCAGGCTACAGTCCATGGGGTGGCAAAGAGTTGGACACAAGTAAGTGACTGAGCATGCACGCAAAGGAGTGATATCAGTTTCACGACTGAATAAGACATCCCTCATTAGTGCCTCCCTCACAGAAAAGCAATGATTTGGCATCCATCCACAGGCAAAAGTGTCTTTGTGGGAGCTCTGGAATCCAGCACCAAATGCCAAGTGGCCCGGGAGAAGTGTTCAGCAGGGAAGAGGCAGACGGACCTTGACAATGGCTGTGGCCTCTGCACTGGCCTTTGAGCTGGCTCCAGCGAACTCCTGGGAAGAACTATCTTAAGCAATCACCCATGGATAAGATGCCAAAGAAGGTCTAGGTTTCCAGCAGAGAAGTTCCTGGACTTTGTCCACTGGACACACTGGCAAGACTAAGAGAAATAGTCTGACTTTATTCATATCACTCTCCTCCCAAGTCAGCACTGCTTAAGGACACAAGAGATCTTCTGAGCCTACGATCTCTTCTACAGGGGAAGTAAGAGCAAGGGACTGAGAGCACTCAGCTTCCCCAGCTATGTGAGATGCTGGCAAAGAGGCTCATTTCTGTTCTGCCCTATCCAGAACACAGAATTATGAGAAGCTTCACCAAGTGGGAAGAGGCTGGGAGAGCAGCAGGCAGTGCCCTTCTGGCATTTAAGGAAGGCAGATCCTACTTACTGCATCAAGAAGCCCACCTAAGAGCCACCCAGGACATCTCATTCACAGATCCCCCCCAGATGGCTCATGGGCACCCTACAGTGCTCTACACACCTTTACCCACATAAACCTGCACACAGTGGCTGGCTCCCAGTGTACAATCCTGATAACGGCAGCAAGACTGAACTTCACCAATGGCTAATGAGGACATACAGAAAGCCAGTCCACATCTGTGGGCCAGAAACACACAAAAATTTGAGCTGTAGTGCCACTTTGGGAAAAACAAAAAACAGGGGCCTGTCAGCACCCAGCCTGGGGCACTGTAGAATCAAGAGGAGTTAAACAAGCTTCAGAAATCTGCACAAGAGGGAACAATAGCATGGAGTAGGTGTACC